CCGCGCGGGGCACGCTGGGTAACGCGGCCGGCGGCGTCGCCGAGTCATCCTGGCCCGGCGACGCTTCTGGCTCCCCTAGCGGTCCTTCTCTCTCGTTTCATTGCCGCAAGCGTAGGGGCGGCCAATGTGAAGAACTAAAAGCAAACTTCGGAGAAACGATCAGTACCCCTTTTTTTTTTCACTCCCTTTACCAAAAAATAAAACGCAGCTTTTGGGAACACGGTAGCGGCGCGCTGGGATGACGCCACGGCTAGCGAAATTACTAGAAAGGGGCTCAGCCACTGAGCGCTTCCGACACGCCCGCGCCTGCGCGTTAGTGGTCAGGTCATCTCCGACCAGCGTCTCTTGGCTGGTGGGTGGTGTTCCGGCCCTGTTGGCCCTGGCTAGCTTCCCTCCCTTCTGTGTCCGGCTTATGCTTAGCGTTTGCGTAGTTGAAAGGCTTCAAATCTTTATTCTTACTACTCTATACGCGGGAGTTGGAAGGTGAATCAGTGGAGGAGAAAGGTGTTCCGCAGAACGAAAGAAAATGGAGTGAACGCTCTGTCCTCTCTGAGCAATCCCACAAGATCATTGCTCCTTGGCCGAACCGGTTTGGCCAGATCACGCAGCCTCTACTGATCGTGGGCTCTGCTGACAGCCCTGAGCGAGTCCCCACCCCACCCCCGCCCCTGCCATCTCTGTGACTGTCTTCCGAAATGTGAGCAAGAGAGGTGCTCAAGGAGCACCCGCACAGTAGGACAAGGCAATGTAGGTGAGGCGACCGTTTCTATATTCCTCTGTCAAAGTAAGTTACTGCGCCACCTCAGACTTCGGGTGATATCAAGGATAGTTGTTCAAACTATAGATAATACAGTTTATATATATAGTGTAATATAGATATAAATAAACGGGAAATTGTCTTCTGAACTGTACATTTGAAGTGACGTCATTTGTTTTTTCAAGATGAATTGTAAGGAATATACAACCGAGTACATTAGTTTCAGCACAAATGTAAACCCTGACAGCCATCTGCGACCCAAATAGGCAAAGAAATTCAACCCTGTTGCAAGATTAAATACTGTTGCATAAACATTATCTAGCAGAGCTGTGGAATCTGTGTCAAAGTTCTGAAGGTATAAATTGCAATATGGCCATCATAGGATAATCACTTTAAATTTCTGCCTGCATTGTTCAGTAACATGAAGAAAACATGAGGACCTCTGCTGAAAGATAACTATTTGGTTATATCTACATGTAATCATTTCTCCAGGTAGAAAATGCTACCATTGGACAAGCAGTCGTCTGGAATTTATTCCATATATGTAAATAAAATATCTTCCCAACTTCATCAGTGTAGCCTGGTTTCTTGGCATGCTTTATAGGCCCTGAATGCTTTGCCTAAGCTATTTTCCTTGCCTAAAATGACTTTCCCCTTTGCCTTCACCTACTTATCTTTCACTTTTCCTATATCGCTTTCTTAAGGAAGACTTCACTTCCCAGGTATCTCTGCTCCAGTAAATATTATGTATCTCTAACCAAGTACTTAAGAAATTAGTTTGTAATTACATGTCTGCATTAATTTCTAAAAAGTGAGATATATATAAATATATATATATACATATATATATATATATTACATAATTTGTAATTATGTTAGGAGATAGAGTTAATCATTATGGCACTGTAGACATAACCCTACCCTAAAAGAGACCATTGCAGGTAAGGGACCATGATCTAGATCAGGAAGCTACATATTTTCTGGGATGGGTAGGCAGTAAATACTCTAGGTTCGGTGGGCCACAAGGCCTCTGTCTAAAATACTCAATTCTGCCTTGTATCACAAAGCAAACAGGCAGTATTGTACATACCTGAAGAAACTTGGCTATTGTTACTAAAAACTTACAAAATTTACCCCTAGACTAGATGCCCATTTCAAGGAATTTTATCTGAATGGTTTTTGTTTATGAAATGATTTGCAAAAAATTTCAAAAGCATATTTTATCCAATCTATACCCTTCCTCTTTACAGATGCACTCTATGTTTATTGCCACTTCTAGAAGCACTTGCATGTTATACAGTACTTATCTCATCTCTCTGCACTCTCTACTTTTTACCCCTGCAATCTCTTTTTAATACCTTCCTTGAGTACTCAAGTCTGCAGAATCATTTTTTTCTCTGACCTCTGCCATCATTATTTACACAATTCACTTGACAATTCGTCACTGTTCACATAGCTTATCTTAAACTCTTTAGCCTTTGACCAAACAGGTCTAGTTCATATCCTTATTAACTCTGACCTAGTTACAATAACCACCTACAGCCACATGCCTGTAATCCCACCTCTCTGGAGGCTGAAGCAGGAGGATCACTGTGAGTTCAAGACCAGCCTGAACTACACAGTTCAACCCTGTCATTTAAAAAACAACAACAACAACACAGATTCCTCTGCTTCTAAATCTCCATCTTCAAATCTGTTTTCTAATGGTGCCATGCTGTCCTTCTTAACTAAATTTTGCAGCTTGGTATTTTTGACCCTCTACTTTTGTCATATCCTGAACCAAACTAATCAATGAAACTCATAAGCATGTCCTGTACTTTCTTGGCTAATACTTTCTTGTACTTTTTGAAGGCTTGCCTCAAGCCTCCAACACATTTACTCCAAGTAGAAATTCTTTCCTCTAATTTTGGGCCATTTTACCTATCCTGCAAGACTCAATTATAATGTGACTTTCTCTAACAGTTATTTTTTTCTGATGACTTGTTTAAAAAAAACAAATATTCTCTTAAATCCTCTATTCCCATATAGCTTTATTACATATGTGAAGTCACATAGCATTCTGTCTTGCGTTATACTTACTTGCATGCATATTTCCTTTATTAAATAAGGTCTTAAGAAACAGAATAAGTCTTAATCATCATTTTATACCACACAGTATCCAGTTTAATTTTTGCCTTTCTGAGCAGGCTTCTTAACTCATACAGAAGTAAGTGAATTCTTGCCTGGATTTGCTAAGTGAGCAGACTGTTATAAAGCAGTGCCACCTTTGGGTTTCCTCTTCTGTGTGTGCCCACCTAGTCTATTTCTCCACCATGCAGTAGATCTTGGTGCCCTACTTTTGGACTTCCCAGCCTCCAGAACCATGAGCTACAATTATTTTTCCTTTATAAATTACCCAGTCACATATTTTGCTACAGCAACAGAAAACAGACTATGACAGTGCTGTACTATGTCACATATAGAAGCATAGACACAGCCAGCAGCAGCACAAGGTGCAGGGGTGTAGCCTGCCTCTCTGAAAAACACAGCTGGGATTCTTAGATCCAGTTTTACTTTTTAAAAAATAAGGGTTCGTGAGAAGTTGCAGAAATGATACTGTAGAGAATCCTGAGTACCCTTCACCCAACTTCCCCTGATGCTGACATCTTAAACTATCGTTGCAGAACATCTAAACCAGGAAAATGACGTTAATTAGACTATACGTTAATTAGGTTGTTTTCAGTTTTCACTATATTTTTAACCTACATTCATTTTGCACACGTGTGAAGGTCTTTGCAGTTTAATTCCATGTATACACTCACATACCCACCATCGCAGCAAACACTTTTACTGGACTGTTGTTTTTGGAATGTGTTTCCTGGCCTTAGGAAGTTATCTTTGTGACGAATGCCATTATGTTGTGTGCATGAAGCAAATAGGCCATGTGGAAATTTTAGGTGCTCTCCAAGAACAGAAAGAAATAGTTTACAAATTTTCAAGATCTATTATATGAAGCAAATCATCTAGGAATTCCAGAAGACAATAATGGTTTTGGAATTAAAAAATAATAATGCTGCAGGATGTTGTGAAGTTTTGTAACACCCAAGAAAGCAATCTGTTGAGGTATTTTACATGGGACACAGAGATTTTTTTCCTAAGTATTATCTTCCCATCTTTTCATTTCATTGAAACCATTCTAAAGATCTTGGATACTAAATGAATCAAAGGTGAAGGCAGAATAAAGATGAGGCTTGGATTATTCCGTAATCCAGTGATGGCGAAACCTTTAGAGCTTTTAGTGATAACAAACAGCCCGCTGCAGTGTGTGTACCATAAGGGTGCCTCCTCTGCTATAATCCTTCAGGAATTGTGGAGAATCTGAGGCTATTTTTCTCAACTTACAAACTATTTTAGTTACTTTTCTCATTGCGGAGACAAAATACCCAACACTCAAAATTAAAGGAGGAAATGTTTATCTTGGCTCACAGTTTGTAGAGATCTCAGTTCATAGTTGGCTGGCTCCAAGGCAGGGTGGCGTGACAAAGGGAAAGACACAGAGGAGGAGCGGTGCATGGCAGGCAGAGGCAGCAAAGTCACAGAGCAGCAGCAAATAAGCAGCCAGTGAGAGAGCAGCCCTCTTCTTCCTCGAAGTCGTGTGCTAGCCATTGTGCCACAGAGCCACATAGCTGCCATCTTTCTGTCCCTTATATTCTAACCAGACTACTCTGAAAAGTCCAACTCTAAAGAGCCCCTCTGAGATTTAAGGCAAACTCTTAGCTGCGAACTCCTGTACAGATGAAAAGAAAGTTAAATGATTCACACAAGATAAAAATTCCCGTTCAAATAGGGAAATAGAAAGGAATGGGATCAAAGCAAGTTCACAATCCAGCAGGGCAAACGTTAAGTCCTATAGTTCTACGTCCAGCATCTGAGGCCGTGCGGCAAGATGAGAACTCCAAAGGGCTTGGTCGCCCTGCCCCTACGGTACTCTATGTGGTTGTAGCTCACAGCTGTTCTCCTGGGCCGGCTCTGCCCACTCCCTCCTTGCAGTGTTCCTCAGATGTTCCACATGCTTGGCTTCTCCTACCTTCTGGGGTCTCCACTGCACCTCTGCCTTCTCACACTGCCCTCTCAGGGTCACACGGCCTGGCCTCCCAGGTCTTCTGAAATCTGGGTGGAAGCCTTCCTGACCCCACAACTCTTGCATTCTGCCTGCATCTAAAACCAATATCATGTGGATGCTGCCAAGATCTGCTGCCAGCTGGAGTGGTAGCCAGGCTTCCTCCTATTTTGGCTGCAGGAGCTGAGTGACTAGATTACTGAACGCAATCCTGAGGAAAAAATTCCCTAGGCCACTGCCATTCTGGAACATGGTGTTCTGTGGATTTCTTCTCAAAGCAAAGTCTTTCATCTTCACAATTTGGAGGCTGCAAAGGCTGGAGTCCTGCTGGTTCTTGTGACATCCTCAGGCCATCTTTCCTGTTCTCCTGTTCCTTCTTAACAATCAAGTTCTCCTCTGTTCCATCTTTGCAGTCCACAACTTTACTGGAGGAGGTTCCTTTCTGGCTAACCTCAAAATGTTTTAAATCATTTCGCTGAGCAATCTTTGCTTTTGATTCACAATATAAATCTGGCTAAAGCCCCCACAGTAGCCACGCCACCACCTCATTAAACTGACTTGAAATTTGTTCTGCAAGATTTATTAGTCGGCTACCCTTAATCTCAATCTCAGACAAAGTCTCTAGACATGAGCAAAATGCAGACAAACTTTCTGCCAAGGCATAACACACATGATCTGGAATCCAACTAAAGTGTGATCACTGTGCGGGATTCCTGGACAGATTGCCAGATGGAGTAGGAGCAAAAAGCAGCTCAGCAAAAGGATTCAAATCACCTCCAGAGCGCTGAACAGAAGTTTACTTTCCTTTTTATACCTCGGTGCTTCTATCGGAAGGGAAAAGCCATGGAAGCTGTGGAAACAGCCAGACACAAGCAGAAGAGCAGTGAAGTAGGAGCAAGGTGGTTTGGCAGGGCTTTCAGAGATTGTCGTGCTCTAGTGAGTTTGCATTACAGCTGTGGTCATAGTTACAATATATCTTCCACAGTGGAGAGAGTTTCAGTTTCCTCTTCACAACAACCAGTGCAGTCCTTCTTCCCAGCAGAAACCTCCTGAGCCTGGTCTTTATTCGGTAGTATTTCTAGGAGCAGTGTGGTCTCCTGAGCTGACTCTATAGCTTAAGAAATTACAGAGCAGCTACTTCAGCTGGTATCTCCAAACCTTCCCAAACCCTTCCAACAAGCCAGTTTCAAAGGTCCTTTAATCTACATGGTCAGGTGCAGTCACAACAATGACCCCGTTCTTAGTACCAAAATCTGTCTTGGTTACTTTTCTCATTGCTGAGGCAAAATACCTAACACTCAAAGTTAAAGGAGGAACAGTTTATTTTGGCTTACAATTTGTAGAAGTTTCACTTCATAGTTTTCTGGCTCCAAGGCAGGGTAGCATGGCAGAGGGGACTCACAGAGGAGAAGTAGTTCATGGTGGGCAAAAGGCAGCAAAGCTGCAAAGTAGTGAATAAGCAGCCAATGAGATAGCAGCCCTCTTTCTGTCCCTTATATTCTATTCAGGCTGCTCACCCTTAGGCTACCCTTAGGGTGGGTAGCACTCACACCCAAAGTGGGCCACCTTTATCCTAGCATTGCACAATAAATCAATCCCAACATCACATCTTTAATTCCATCATCACACACTACATCAAGCCCCCACTGAAAATCTCTACCTATGACCACATGAGGCTTGGGGGTGGGGCATCTAGATACAAGCCATAACAAAAACTAAGGTTTTATGAATGCTAGCAGAAGATGAAAGACACTTAGGTTAGAAACCTAGAACTTTGAATTCATAGCAATATCTGTATCTGATGTATAAGTATTTTCTTATATAGTATTTTCTTTACGGCATAGGGTGATATAAAGTGGACCAGGTGACACATTTACTGAGTGCCTACAGGAGAGGAAATTCAATCAAGGGGGACCCAAATCATTTATAAGAGGTACTAAGGTGCCTTCTTTACTCTATAAGGACATAATATTCTAAGGCCATTCAGTATATACTTCAAAAATAGCCCAGAACAGGGCCGGAGATTTAGCTCAGTGGTTCTGCCACCTGCCTTGCAAGGACAAGGACCCAAGTTCAATCCCCAGTACAAAAAAAAAAATTAAAAATTAAAAAAAATCCCAGAACAAAGTGATGTATTAGTTTCTATAATAAGGTACCATGAATGTAGTGGCTTGAGACATGTGGATTTATTAGTTTACAATTCTGAAGATCAGAAGTTTAAAATAGACCTTAAAGGACGAAAATCAAAGTCCATGCACTTTCTGGAAAGTTTAGGGGAGAATTTGTTCCTTGCCTTTTCCAGAATCCAGAAGTCGCCATATTCCTTGCCCTGCAACTACATCGTTGCAACCTCTACTTCCATTATTATTTTTCTTCTGACCTTCTGCCTGCCTCTTTCCTTTATAAGGACTCTGATAATGTTGGGCCCACACAGCTAATCCAAGACCATCTCCACATCTCAAGGTACTCAATTACATCTGCAGAGTCCTTTTCACATGCACCATAATATATTCAAGGGTTCTGTGGTTTTGAATGTTTAGATCTTTGGGGAGCTATTTTATTCCCATTGCAAGCAGTCAGTGCCTTAGGCACAATCATGAAAAACCCCTATGGAGTTATTCTTCAGTAATATCTACACTTTCTTAACTACTAACAAGATTTCCCATAAGCATGATACTCTACTGATCATTCTGATTAATCGCCAGAGGCTGGGACCAAATTTATTCATTTTGTTTCACACAGCACTGATAAGGCTACGACCACACAACCAGTGGTAGAATAAGGCCAACCTGCAAGGTTGATAACTGTGCTGCCCCACTGACTGAGCAAATCTGGTGAGGGTCTGTTTGGCTGCTTCCAAGTGACTGTTTCTGTACTGACTTGTCCACTTGGTTCAGAGCACCACTCAAGCCCATCAGGATGAGTTTGCATTTGCACATACTGTGCCATGGCCGGCAAGGAGGAAATATGGGGCAGCTATATCAGTCCTAACAAGCCTGAGCGCTAAGGTGGGACCGACTTCAATGCCTTTCAGGACCAATGTGATGTCAGTAATCACTACAGCTGAAGCTAGGACAAATTTTGCTACACCTCTTCTAATAGAATGGCTCACATTTTAGGAATAACTGGCCACAAGATGTACACAAATAGTGAGTAAGTTATCACCTGAAAAATTCCACTAATTAATCCACAGAGGCCCTTTCATTCGTTCTTTCTTTTCCTTTTTCTTTCTTTCTCTCTCTTCTCTCTCTCCCTCCCCCTCCCTCCCTCCCTCTCT